AATAAGTGTTGCCTTTAATTTAATCAATAAAATAAATTGACTTCATTAATTTTTTTGAACCACCTCTTAAGAAAATCTAAAAAATATGAATGGAATGATAAATCACAAGTACAAACTCATCATATTTTTTGCATTTTAGATAGGATTTATTCAGCAAAATTTAAGGGTGACGTCATCAATTTTTTTAGGAGGGATGAACAAATACATTTTGAACAAAAGTTTACCATGCTTATAATAACTTTAAAATATTCCCAAGATTTCAAAGCATTCGGTTTTGTAATTCCTGATTAAATCGATAAAATAAATTCACGCCTTCATTAATTTTTTTGAGTTACCCTGCATATGCAAATCCAAAAATATGAATGGAATGATAAATCACAAGTACAGACTCATCATATTTTGTACATTTTAGATACGATTTATTCGGCAAACTTTTGAGCTGACGTCATCAGTTTTTTGTAGAAGATAACCAAATATATTTTGACTAAAAATTTAGTATGCTCTTTATAACCTTAAAACATCTGCAAGATTTCAAAGCATTCGGTTTTGTAGTTCCTGATTAAATCAATAAAATAAATTTACGCATTCATTAATTTTTTTGAGTCACCCTGTATATGCAAATCGAAAAAATTTGAATGGAATGATAAATCACAAGAAGAGACTCACCATATTTTGAACATTTTAGATAGGATTTATTCAGCAAAATTTTGTGGTGACGTCATAAATTTTTTAGGGGGGACGACCAAATACGTTTTGATCAAAAATTTACCATGCTTATGATAATTTTAAAATATCTTCAAGATTTCGAAGCATTCGGTTTTGTAGTTCCTGAGTAAATCAGTAAAATAAATTTACGCTTTCATTTATTTCCTTGAATCACCCTGTATATGCAAATCCAAAAAATATGAATGGAGTGATAGATCACAAGTACAGACTGATCATATTTTGTACATTTTAGATATGATTTATTCGGCAAATTTTCGAGCTGACGTCATCAAGTTTTTGGAGGGGATAAGCAAATATATTTTGACTAAACATTTATTATGCTCTTTATAACCTTAAAACATCTGCAAGATGTCAGAGCATTCCGTTTTGTAGTTCCTGATTAAATCAATAAAATATATTTACGCATTCATTAATTTTTTTGAGTCACTCTGTATATGCAAATCCAAAAAATATGAATGGAGTGATAAATGACAAGTACAGGCTCATCATATTTTGTACATTTTAGATATGATTTATTCGGCAAACTTTCGAGCTGACGTCATCAAGTTTTTGGAGGGGATAAGCAAATATATTTTGACTAAACATTTATTATGCTCTTTATGACCTTAAAACATCTGCAAGATTTCAGAGCATTCGGTTTTGTAGTTCCTGATTAAATCAATAAAATATATTTACGCATTCATTAATTTTTTTGAGTCACCCTGTATATGCAAATCCAAAAAATATGAATGGAGTGATAGATCACAAGTACAGACTCATCATATTTTGTACATTTTAGATATGATTTATTCCACAAACTTTTGAGCTGACGTCATCAAGTTTTTGGAGGGGATAAGCAAATATTTTTTGACTAAAGATTTATGATGCTCTTTATAGCCTTAAAACATCTGCAACATTTCAAAGCATTCTGGTTAGCAGATTAAAAATTAAATTTCAAAATGTTGTTTTATAATTTTGATTTTTTTTCCAAAAATCTGGACGTTTCGGGTGAAAAGTCGTTTCAGAGTTGTAAACTACATGTGTAGGACTATGTTATTTTATACAATTGAAAACCCATTTACTATGTACAATTTTGAAGTGACGTCATCGCATTAGTGGTGGGGATGATTAGACAAATTTTGGTTAGCGTTTTACCATCTACATGATATTCTTAATATAAGTACAAAATTTCACAACAATCGGTCGAGTACTTTCGGAGATTATCTGTCTAATAAAAATCCGGGACGGCAGACGGACGGACAGACGGACGGACAGACGGACAGACGGACAGACGGACAGACGGACAGACGGACAGACAGACGGAAATTTGAGACCTATTTCTTCGTCTTCTAGGGGTCATGAAAGATCGAGAAAACGTAAAAGTAGAGAGTCGGCCGACGGACTCGATTACAATACTTCCTTTGCTTACGCTCGGGAAGTAAAAATGTGTCAAATGACTCCAAATTGTATCATAGTTACAGATATAAAAAAGTTTTGAACTGCTTACAGTTTTCACAAAAAGCATTAAACCTAGAAATCCGCTCTCTATTTATGAATTAAAAACAATGTTTCAAATTTTACCGAGAGATAACTTGAAAACGGTTTAAGCATCCACTTTGTGATTTCCAGCATTCAAGTCCTACGGCTTGATTTTCAGGCCGGAAACTGTACAAATTTATTCCTGAGCAACAAATATATGGGACGGTTGTCATTTACGAATTACGAAACAGTTTTTTTAATTTTAGCGAGACATAAGTTCAAAACCGTTTGAGTATCCACTTTATGGTTTTCAGTATTTGACTCCTCGAAAATTCCTAGTCCTGCGGGTTGATTTTCAGACTGGAAACAGTATCAATTTAGTCCTGAAGGACAAATATATGGGATGAGTGTCATTTATAAATTAAAAAACAACTTTTCAAGTTTTACCAGGACATAACTTCAAAATGATTGAAGTATCCTCTTTGTGGTTCTCACCATTCGATTCTCTGAAGTTTTTTAGTCGATTAAACTGATTTTCAAGTCGAGTTCTCTGCCAGTTTAGTGTGGAGAAACGAATATATATGGGACGGTAGTCATTTATGAATTAAAAAACAACATTTCAAACCACACCGAGACATAACTTCAAAACCGTTTACGTATCCACTTTGTGGTTTTCAGCATTTGATTCCCCAAGTTTTTTACTCGGATAGTCCACCAGTTTAGTGTAGAGAAACAAATATATATGGGACGGTTGTCATTTATGTATTTATTCTATTTTAGAACCATAATCTTATTTATAAGCACCCAAATGCGGGCTTAAATTGGCCTTTTTAGCACAAATCTGTCAAAAATTGCTAAGCAACAATTGATTGTTCATTTACACTAATCCATTAATTATTCAAACACGCTTCGATATTCAACGTTTTTCTTAAGTTGGAAAAATAATATTTTATCAAATCATTACCTGACCGACTTCAAATTCTTCTAAACTTTCGTTTGAATAAAGGTTTTCCGCTTCTTTAATTTACATTTTGAAAAACGAATTATCAAATAATCAACGTGGTATCCATAACAACATCAAAATAATAGCCAGCTATGTATTAAAATTCGCATCGGCACAATTCACACAGTCTTGTTGAAAATACTCAATATTTCGTTAAAAATAGTTTAGAAACTAAAATAGAATAAAACGTTGTATGTACCACGTGCATAATTGTCGATTGTGGCACTCGGGAAATTAAAAGCCCTCCTTCGTCGGGCTTTAAACATTCCCTCGTGCCACAATCTCCCTGATTATGCCCTTAATACATAAATAACTATAAAAGCAGTTTTTCAAAATTTAACGGGACATAACTTCAAGACGGTTTAAGTTTTCCCCTTGTGATTTTCAGTATTCGATTCCTCGAAAATTTCTAGTTTTGCAGCTTGATCTTCAGGCCGGAAACTCTACAAATTTAGTCCTGAGAGACAAATATATGGGACTGGTGTTATTTATGAATTAAAAAAAAAATTAAATTACCGGCTCGTAACTTCAAAACGGTTTAAATATCCACTTTGGGGTTTTCATCATTCGATTCCTCGAAGTTTTCTAGTCTTACGGCCTGATTTTCACATTGAGTACTCTACCGGTTTAGCGTGAGAAGAAGGTTTTGATTTTGGATTTATGATCGCAAAAAGTGAGTGTATTGTTGTAGAAAATCCCAACACCGTGGTTGTCCATTGTGAGGTCTGTACCAGTATGGGCGGTCTATGTGGCTGGGATTGCCCAGTGTTGGGGAGGTTTTACTCTTCTCACTGAGATACCCAGTTATATGGATAGCATTATGCATTTTGACATCAATTCGGTGAGTACCTGATTGTCGTACTTACATTTAAAAATCTCTTTTGTTTTTAGAATAGTCAGTTATCTGCTCTACCGTACGCAGCTATGTATCTAACGGGTCTAGTAGTGTCGCCACTCTTTGATACTCTCGTCGCTAACAATACCATCAGTATTACCGTTGCACGAAAGATTTCCAATTCTCTAGCGTCGGTACTACCAGCAGCTGCTTTAACATGTTTAGCGTTCTTGGAAAACTTTGAACCTAATTTAGTCAACGCGTTGTTGATTGTTGCAGTTGGTACTTCCGCGTTCCAGCAGTCAGGTTATATGCTCAACACTATAGATCTAACTCCGAACCACGCTGGTACTCTTTTCGGTTTAATCAATGGGATTAACAATATATTCTCGCTTTTGGCACCCTTAACAGTGAGACTTCTTGGAAGCGATAAGGTAAAGTTTGTACAAAGAAAGAGTGATGTTTTCAGGGCGATTTTAGTCGGACCCGATTTTGTGGAGGAAGGTTTTTCTGCTTTCTGCTGGAATTTATATCGCATGTGGACTTTTCTATGCGATTTTCACTTCTGCGGACGTCCAGCGGTGGAATGGTACAGAGAAAGAAGAAGAGAAAACTGAGAAAAAGTGAATAGATCTGTATTAAATATTTTTTATTTGTTAATAAATTTTTGCTAATACGTTTTAGTAATTATTTCGGGTACTTACACTTTGAATACTTCGAAAGTAGTATTACGCAATGAGAACAATCATAGTTAATTGGTTGCAGGAAAAGATCTTGAATGCAGATATTGCTGGACCACTTATTAACGGAATTTTTCATTTTCCATTGTTATCATCAACATAAACAAAGTGCAAATTGGCAGTTTTAACAATGATTAGATAAACATACGTGAAAGCTACTCAAACATATGAACGACAGATATATAAAGAAGAAAAAAGATAAGTCTTATTTATTTCCTATCATCCCATTTTCCGCACCATGTCAGACGTCAAGCTCAAAATCCCGATCTCCGAAGATCAACCCAAACCAAGTAAGAATTCAAAAACGTACCCAAAACTTTCTAATTTTCGAAAAATTAGTAATAGGAGTTCGGTACTACCAGTTCCTACTTATGTTTATCACCCTCATTATCTGCTTCGTGATGCGCACGGTCCTATCAGTGGCTATTATATCAATGACCGCAAAAACACCCCCCGACCCGAGCATACCAGTAAGTACACCACAAACCCAAGTACCGTAGTCAGTACCCACTCTTCTAGACGTACCCGGAATGGGACAACACCGACGTAATCCTGTCGTCGTTCTTTTGGGGCTACATCCTGCCACAAGTTGGTGCAGGCCAACTCAGCGAGTACTTTGGCCCAAAATGGTTCCTGTGTGGTACCATGACCATCGGATCCGTTTTCAATATAGCCATACCACCGATGGCAGCCGCTTTTGGTTCCACAGGAGTAATCATCTGTCGCGTGATTCAAGGTTTAAACCAAGGTTTTCTATATCCTTCGCTCCACAATCTGATAAGTCAGTGGTCACCGATCGCCGAAAGGGCAAGAGTTTCGAATGTTGTGTATGCCGGATCTAGTTTGGGTATAGCTATTGCTATGCCCCTAACTGGGGCAATTGCTGCGTCTGAGCTGGGATGGCCCACAGCGTTCTATGGGATTGGAGGTGCTGGGGTAGCATGGGCTTTGATTTTTGCAATATTTGCAGAAAATTCGCCTACTTGTCACAAAAAAATATCAAAGGAAGAGTTGATGTATATCCAAGAGAACAATGGCGTGAAATATAGTACTACGAAGGTACGACTTTCATAATTTCGTGATTTCTGTGTGTAGCTTAAATATTGTAGAAAGTACCGACACCATGGAGGAGTATTTTGACGTCGCTACCCATGTGGGCTATTTTAATAGCCGCCTGTGCCCAAGCTTGGGGTGGTTTCACTTTACTCACAGAAATACCGAGTTATATGGACGGTATTATGAACTTTGACATAGAATCGGTGAGTACCTTTCAAGCTTCGAATTTTCGGTACTAAATAAATACCATTCCAGAATAGTCTTCTGTCGGCTGTACCATACGTGGGTCAAATTTTCACAGGCATTGCCGTGTCTCCACTAGCCGATAAGCTAATCATAAATCAAGTATTCAGTACCACCACAACGAGAAAAATTTTTAGTGGACTGGGTAGTTTTGTTCCAGCTTTGGCCTTAACGTGGCTCGCTTTTATCGATGGTGCCGAACAAGAACTAGCTTTGGTACTTCTAGTGGTGGCCGTTGCTTGTACATCTTTCGTGGTTTCTGGTTTTCTTATTAATATTATTGACTCTGCACCTAACCACGCTGGTACCATTCTGGGTTTAGTGAATGGTACTTCTAATATTTTTTCTATTTTGGGACCTTTGACTGTGGGTCTGCTTGGCAGTGACAAGGTAATAAGATAATAAAATCATCGTTCATCTAATTGGTGGTACTTTAATCCAGACAGATCCGATTCTGTGGAGGAAAGTATTTCTTTTAGCAGCTGGAATTTACGTTGCTTGTACCGGCTTTTACGTGATTTTTGGCTCGGCTGAGTTGCAACCGTGGAACGACATAGAGGATGAAGCATCTCAAGAAGGTACTAAAGAGGAAAAAAATGGATCTGTTTAGAAAACTTAATAAATATTTATCAAATTTATATCTTGTCTGTTTTATTATTCTTTGTAAGCATGTATTGTATTCATAATATAGGAAACCTACATTTTATCTCAAAAAATTTAAGTAGAGAAATCCACGGCTAATTAGCGTGCAATATTTTAAAGTTCAAATTAGCCTGAAAATCGTTTGTAAAATATGCACTCAAGTTCAAGTTGAAGATAAAGTTGATGATAATAATCGATTTTTCTTTATTGTTTTTGAACATATTTTATTCACGATCTCACGTGTTGTCACTCATGGTGGTACTTGATTCAGGTGTTTGTTGCTGTATGGAATTTACCTGCTCTGTTTTTTTTTTTTCTTATGTTACTATATTTCGTGTAAACATTAAGAAAAATGACCATAAGGAGATAGAATGCAGATAGGTACTACTAAGAACCACTAGAAGCGGCTATTCCATTGTACAAAATCACAGATGTAAACACCAAACTGTTTTCTACTGATATACCAATCAAGTACTCACGAAAAACTTCTGTGGTAAATTGCAAATTAATAGTTTTAATTGTTGTGATTAGATAAGTTCTGTTAGATTTTAGATCTGTAATTGCATGCTGTTTGTGAGGGATATATAAGCAAAAATCAAACAATCATCTGATTAAAACCAACTTGAAAATGTCAATTGATAAACTACCCGGTCCCGCTAGCGATACCAAGTCTAGACTGAGTAAAAATTAAATCAAATTCCAACCTCAAACGGTACTAATTTCCGCAAAATTACAGGAATCGGGATTCGGTACTACCAGTTCGCCTTACTGTTCTTGACTCTTGTCGTTTCCTTCATTCTACGAACGATTCCATCAGTGGCAATAATATCAATGACTGCAAAAACACCCCCGGATGCCAGCGTACCAGTAAGTACCAAAATCACTGTATTCTATTTTAACCCCAAGTTCCTCAGACATACCCCGAATGGGACAACACCGACATAGTACTCTCGTCGTTCTTTTGGGGCTACATTATCCCCCAGATCGGAGCAGGCCAACTAGGCGAACACTTCGGCCCCAAGTGGTTCCTGTTTGGTACCATGGTCATAGGATCAATTTTCAGCATTGCCATCCCACCAATGGCCGCCGCCTTTGGTTCCACAGGAGTAATCGTCTGTCGAGTCATACAAGGTTTAAACCAAGGCTTCCTATATCCCTCAATCCACAACCTACTAAGCCGATGGTCACCGTTTTCGGAACGAGCTAGAGTCTCCAATATCGTCTACTCTGGTGCTAGTATCGGAATTGCGCTTGCTATGCCCATAACTGGTACTATCTCTGAATCGAAACTCGGCTGGCCAATAGCGTTTTACTCAATTGGCGGCTTGGGGGTGGCATGGGCTCTAGTTTTTGCAATATTTGTGGAAAATTCCCCCGCAAGTCATAAAAGAGTAACACAAGAAGAGCTGAGGTACATCCAGGAGAAAAATGCGGTTGAGTATGGTACCACCAAGGTACTTTTGTGTAAATTTGAGTGCGATGTGAATTTTACGTTGTGGTTGCAGAAAGTACCAACACCATGGGTGTCTATAGTGACGTCAATGCCAGTATGGGCGATTTTAGTAGCCGCTTGTGCCCAGTGTCTCGGAGCGTTCACGTTGGTTTCAGAAATGCCGAGTTACTTAAATGGGGTTATGGACTATGATATACGATCGGTGGGTCATTTTAACTAGTGTTTATAATTTATAAAATGGGTGTGTTTCAGAATAGTTTACTGTCGGCGGTACCATACATAGCACACGCGATTGCCGGTGTGTTGGTATCACCACTAGCCGATCAGTTAATTTCGAAGAACATCGTTAGTATTACTAGTGTGAGGAAAATCTTCGGTGCTTTGGCTATGTATGTACCCGGGGCAGCTCTCATATGGCTCGCGTTTGTTGACAGTACCCAGAAAGAACTAGCTATAGTACTGTTAGTGGTAGCTGTTGCGTTCACCGCTTTGGTACTGTGTGGTTTCATGGTCAACATGATCGACGTAGCTCCTAACCATACTGGAACTATTGTTGGTATGGCGTATGGTACTTCCAACGTCTTCTCGCTTTTGGGGCCCATCATAGTTAGTTGGTTTGGTACTGACAAGGTAAAAGTTGTATCTACAATTTAGGGATAAATCTAATTATGTTTTTTGGTGTAGACAGATACGATTTTGTGGAGGAACGTCTATCTCTTAGTTGCTGGGGTATATGTGGCATGTGGTACCTTTTACGCAGTGTTTGCTTCAGCGGAAGTTCAATCGTGGAACGACTTGGAGGAGAAAAGTGGTACCTATTAACTGTATTGTAACATAGAAATTAAGTTATTTTTTCAGATTCGTCTTAAACCAAAGAGTACCTAAGTGATTTGTTTGAATTTCGTAAAATAATGCAAGTTGTGAATCGGGAAAAACACAGAGCAGTAACTAAAAAAATTATTTCATTTCCTTAATTGTTTGTAAGCATTTTTATCAGTGTTGTATCTCAGTCAGTGGAGTTTTTTTTCTATCTTCAATCTTCAGTTTAATTTTTTTGCTACTTTAAACTAGTCTGGAGTATCAATAATCTACATCCAGCTAATGTTTTTCCTTATCTTTGGAGATATCTGCTTCAAAATTACCCATGCAATGACTTCGACATTTTTTTGCCAAGTTGTTGCTATCAGTTGCCTTTTCTTCATTTTGAAACCCATATAAACGTCGAGAAAATATGAAAGTACCAAATCGCCAAGAAGAGCAACTTTTGGCAATTATCTGCGCAAATATTGACCGGCTCTGGTTCTGGTGCTTGATTCAATTTATTCTCCCCATAGACATATCCAGTTAAATATTTATTGTCTTTATTACTTAACGCATGTTAAGATTAATAATGTCATGAGTTGGTACCTTTACTTTCGCTCCGTCTATTTTACGACACTTAGTGTAACCACAACTCCGAAAGCGAAATCTTTATTAGTTTAGGAAATTGCCAAGGTGTTTAATTGTTTGGTTGTTTTAAAAGTAAGTATATCGTTGCTCTGGGTAATTAGCAAGGTGGTTTATTGATTACTTAGCTGTTTTAAAGGTAAGTTATATTGTTTTTAGTAGATTAATAAAACTATAGCTAATAAAGAGTAATTGGTGCAGAAACATTTATTTACTAAAAGTTTTAGAGTTTGTGGTTTGGTAGTTTTTTTTCCGCTGTGTAGAAGTCAGCCTCGGATTTCGATTTGGTTTTTTTGCTTTCTCCGAGCGAGGCCGCTTTTCGATATTTATAAATGTTTTCCTTGAGGTATATACATTACTATTATAATTTAACGCATTCATTCACCTAGCTGTCAATAGCTTTGGAATGAACTGATAGATTTAAAATATATTATTTAACTTCTTCATGTAGGATAGCGCATGACTTCATTATTTAATTAGTCGCGAGCTTCGTTCCCTCTCGGAACTTTCTTCATTTATGAATTATACACCTCTTCCGTCTAAGGGTAAAACTAGTTTTTGACTATATTATGACAATAAATATACGAAATACGTATAAGCATAAATTTTTTAGCCTTGCTTTTCAGTGTTCAGTGCTTTTGTTTCGGACGTCACGACTTGTAAAGGTAAATGACGCTTTCGTGTGGATATTTAAATTAATAACAATTTGACTAACTTTTTTATGTTTAGATAACGGCGAAATTAATTTTTTCGTGTTTGAATATTTAAAACGGTGATAAGTGCAACAAAGATGTTTGAAGTTCATTTGCCTTGGATGCTCTGTAAAAATTGCCATATTTATTGTGGTTTAAAAACGACGACCTTGCAATTTTTGCTGTTTTGTTGCTTGCATTGACTTAGAATTAAAAACAATTTTTTAAATTTTACCTGGACATGACTTCAAACCGGTTTAAGTATCCACTTTGGGGGTTTCACCATCCAATTCCTCAAAAAATTCTTGTCCTTGATTTTCAGATTGGATTTTTTCTACCAACGTAGTCCTGAGAAAGAAATATATAGGTCCAGTGTAATTTATGAATTAAAAAACAACTTTTTCCAAATTTTACCGGCACAACATTTCAAAACGGTTTAAGAATTCACTTTGTGGTTTTCTGCATTCGATTTCTTAAAGTTTTTTAATCCAATGGGCTGATTTTCATGTCGGATACGCTTCCAGTGTACTGTGGAGAAACGAATATATATGGGACGGTTGTCATTTATGAATTAAAAATAGTTTTTCAAATTTTAGCGGGACATAACTTGAAAACGGTTAAGTTTCCCTTTTGTGGTTTTCAGTATTCGATTCCTCGAAAACTTTTAGTCAGACGGCTTGATTTTCAGATTGCTAACTTTACCAATTCAGTCCTGAGAGACAAATATATGGGACAGCTGTCATTTATGAATTAAAAAACATCTTTTCAAATTTTACCGTGACATATCTTCAAAACCGTTTAAGAATCCACTTTGTGGTTTTTAGCATTCGATTCCCCGAAGTTCGTTAGTCCATTGGACTGATTTTCAGGTCGCATGCTCTGCCAGTTTGTGTGGAGAAACGATTATAAAAGGGACGGTTGTCATTTATGAATTAATACAGTTTTTCAAATTTTAACAAAACTTTACTTCAAAACGGTTTAAGTTTCCCCTTTCTGGCTTTCAGTATTTGATTTCTCGGAAATTTATACTCTTGGGGCTTGATTTTCAGACTGGAAAATCTACCAATTTAGTCCCGAGAGACAAATATATGGGACGAACGTCACTTATGAATTCAAAAACCATTTTCCAAATTTCTTCTGTGTGGTTTTCAGAATTCTATTTCTCGAAAATAAATTTTTAGTCCTGCGACTTGATTTTTCATACTGGAAACTCTACCAACCTAGTCCTGAGAAACAAATATATAGGACGAGTGTAATTTATGAATTAAAAAACAACTTTTTTCAAATTTTACCGCAACATAATTTCAAAACGGTTTAAGAATTCACTTTGTGGTTTTCCGCATTCGATTTTTCAAAGTTTCTTAGTCTAATGGCCTGATTTTCAGGTCGGATACGCTTCCAGTTTAGTGTGGAGAAACGAATATATGGGACGGTTGTCATTTATGAATTAAAAATAGTTTTTAAAATTTTAGCGGGACATAATTTGAAAACGGTTAAGCTTCCCTTTTGTGGTTTTCAGTATTCGAAATTTCTAGTCAGGCGGCTTGATTTTCAGATTGCTAACTCTATCAATTCAGTCCTGAGAGACAAATATATGGGCCGGCTGTCATTTATGAATTAAAAAACAACTTTTCAAATTTTACCGTGACATATCTTCAAAACCGTTTAAGAATCCACTTTGTGGTTTTTAGCATTCGACTCCCTGAAGTTTGTTAGTCCATTTGACTGATTTTCAGGCCAGTTTAGTGTGGGGAAACGAATATATATGGGACGGTTGTCATTTATGAATTAAAACAGTTCTCCAAATTTTAGCGTGACATAACTTCAAAACGGTTTAAGTTTCCCTTTTCCGGGTTTCAGTATTCGATTCCTCGAAAATGTCTAGTCCTGTGAGTTGATTTTCAGACTGGAAACTCTACTAACTTAGTCCTGAGAGAGAAATACTTATATGGGACGAGTGTCATTTATGAATTAAAAAACAACTTTTAAAATTTTACCGGAACATAACTTCAGAACGATTTAAGTATCCAGTTTCTGGTTTTCAGCATTCGATTCCTTGAAGTTTTTTAGTCCAACGGATGGATTTTCAGATCACATACTCTGCCACTTTAGTGGAGAAACGCATATTAATGGGACGGTTGTCATTTATGAATTAAAAACAGTTGTTCAAAATTTAGCGGGACATAACTTCAAAACGGTTTAAGTTTCCCTTTTCCCGGTTTCAGTATTCGATTCCTTGAAAATTTTTAGTCCTGTGGTTTGATTTTCAGACTGGAAATTGTACTAACTTAGTCCTGGGAATTAAATACTTATATAGGACGAGTGTCATTTATGAATTAAAAATCAACTTTTCATATTTTATTGGGACATAACTTCAGAAAGGTTTATATCCAGTTTCTGGTTTTCAGTATTCGATTCCTTGAAGTTTTTTTTAGTCCAACGGCCTGATTTTCAGGTCACATACTCTGCCAGTTTAATGGAGAAACGAATATATATGGGACGGTTGTCATTTGTGAATTAAAAACAGTCGTTCAAATTTTTACAGGACATAACTTCAAAACGTTTGAAGTTTCCCTTTTCCGGGTTTCAGTATTCGATTCCTCGAAAATTTTTAGTCATGTGGTTTGATTTTTAGACTAGAAATTATACTAACTTAGTCCTGAGAGACAAATACTTATATGGGACGAGTGTCATTTATGAATTAAAAAACAACTTTTCAAAGTTTATCGGGAGAGAACTTCAGAACGGTTTAAGTATCCAGTTTCTGGTTTTCAGCATTCGATTCCTTGAAGTTTTTTAGTCCAACGGATGGATTTTCAGATCGCATACTCTGCCAGTTTAGTGGAGAAACGCATATTAATGGGACGGTTGTCATTTATGAATTAAAAACAGTTTTTCAAAATTTACCGGGACATAACTTCAAAACGGTTTAAGTTGCTCTTTTCCCGGTTTCAGTATTCGATTCCTTGAAAATTTTTAGTCCTGTGGTTTGATTTTCAGACTGGAAATTGTACTGACTTAGTCCTGAGAGAGAAATACTTATATAGGACGTTTATTTATGAATTAAAAAACAATTTTTCAAATTTCACCGGGACATAACTGCAGAACAGTTTAAGTATCCAGTTTCTGGTTTCCAGCATTCGATTCCTTGAAGTTTTTTAGTCCAACGGCCTGATTTTCAGGTCACGTACTCTGCCAGTTTAGTCGAGAAACGCGAGAAACGAATATATATGGAACGGTTGTCATTTATGAATTAATAAACAATTTTTTAAATTTTAACGGGACATAACTCCAAAACGGTTTTAGTTTCAACGTTGTGATTTTCAGCATTCGATTCCTGGAAAATTTCTAGTCCTGTGGCTTCATTTTCACACAGAAAAATCTACCAATTTAGTCCCGAGAGACAAATATATGAGACGGTGTCATTTGTGAATTCATAAACCACATTTCAAAGTTTACCGGAACATAATTTAAAAACGGTTTACGTATCTACTTTGTGGTTTTCGGCATTCGATTCCTTGAAGTTTTTTATTCCAATAGCCTGAGTTTCAGGTGAGGTACTCTGTCGGTTTAGTGTGCAGAAACAAATATATATGGGACGGTTGTCATTTATGAATTAAAAACAGTTTTTCAAAATTTAGCGGGACATAACTTCAAGACGGTTTAAGTTTCTCCTTTGTATTTCTCACTATTCGATTCCTCAAAAATTTCTAGTTCTGCAGCTTGATCTTCAAACCGGAAGCTCTACAAATTTAGTCTTGAGCGACAGATATATGGGACAGGTGTCATTTATGAATTAAAAAACAATTTTTCAAATTTTGCTACAATATAATTTCAAAATGGTTTAAGTATCCATTTTGTGGTTTTCAGCATTCGAGTCCTCAAAGTGTTTTAGTCCAATATCCTAATTTTTAGATGGGATACTCTGCCAGTTTAGTGGTGAGAAACGAATATATATGGGACGGTTGTCATTTATGAATTAATAAACAATTTTTCAAATTTTAGCGGGACATAACTCCAAAACGGTTTTAGTTTCCTCTTTGTGATTTTCAGCATTCGATTCCTGGAAAATTTCTAGTCCTGTAGCTTCATTTTCACACAGAAAAATCTACCAATTTAGTCCCGAGAGACAAATATATGAGACGGTGTCATTTGTGAATTCAAAAACCACTTTCCAAACTTTACCGGAACATAATTTAAAAACGGTTTACGTATCTATTTTGTGGTTTTTGGCGTTCGATTCCTTGAAGTTTTTTATTCCAATGGCCTGATTTTCAGGTGAGGTACTCTGTCGGTTTAGTGTGGAGAAACAAATATATATGGGACGGTTGTCATTTATGAATTAAAAACAGTTTTTCAAGATTTAGCGGGACACAACTTCAAGACGGTTTAAGTTTCTGTTTTGTGGTTCTCACTATTCGATTCCTAAAAAATTTTATTTCTGCAGCTTCATCTTCAAACCGGAAGCTCTACAAATTTAGTCTTGAGCGACAGATATATGGGACAGGTGTCGTTTATGAATTTAGAATCAATTTTTCAAATTTTGCTGAAAAATAACTTCAAAATGGTTTAAGTATCCATTTTGTGGTTTTTCAGCATTCGAGTCCTCAAAGTGTTTTAGTCCAATATCCTAATTTTTAGATGGGATACTCTGCCAGTTTAGTGTGGAGAAACGAATATATATGGGACGGTTGTCATCTATGAATTAATAAACAACTTTTCAAATTTTAGCGGGACATAACTACAAAACGTTTTTAGTTTCCCCTTTGTGATTTTTAGCATTCGATTCCTCGAAAATTTCTAGTCCTGAGGCTTTATTTTCACACTGAAAAATCTACCAATTTAGTCCCGAGAGACAAATATATGGGACAGTGTCATTTGTGAATTCAAAAACCACTTTTCAAAGTTTACCGGAACATAATTTAAAAACGGTTTACGTATCTACTTTGTGGTTTTCGGCATTCGATTCCTTGAAGTTTTTTATTCCAATGGCCTGAGTTTCAGGTGAGGTACTCTGTCGGTTTAGTGTGCAGAAACAAATATATATGGGACGGTTGTCATTTATGAATTAATAAACAATTTTTCAAATTTTAGCGGGACATAACTCCAAAACGTTTTTAGTTTCCCCTTTGTGATTTTCAGCATTCGATTCCTGGAAAATTTCTAGTCCTGCGGCTTCATTTTCACACTGAAGAATCTACCAATTTAGTCCCGAGAGACCAATATATGGGACGAGTGTAATTTGTGAATTCAAAAACCACTTTCCAAACTTTACCGGAACATAACTTATAAACGGTTTACGTATCCACTTTGTGGTTTTCGGCATTCAATTTCTTGAAGTCTTTTGTTCAAATGGCCTGATTTTCAGGTGAGATAGTCTGTCAGTTTAGTGTGGAGAAACAAATATATATGGGACGGTTGTCATGTAGTTTTTCAATATTTGGCGAGACATAACTTCAAGACGGTTTAAGTTTTTCTTTTGTGGTTTTCAGTATACAATTCCTCGAACATCTCGAACATTTATTGTCCTGCGGCTTGATCTTCAAACCGGAAATTCTACCAATTTAGCCTGAGAGACAACTGTATGGGACTGGTGTCATTTATGAATTAAAAATCAACTTTCCAAATTTTAACGGGACATAACTTCAAAACAGTTTAGGTATCCACTTTGCCGTTTTCAGCATTCGATTCCTCGAAGTTTTTTAGTCCAACGGGCTGATTTTCAAGTCGGATACTATGCCAGTTTAGTATGGAGAAGCGAATATTTATGGGATAGTTGTCAATTATGTATTAAAAAACAATTTTTCAAATTTTATCGGGACATAACTCTAGAATGCCTTGCGATTTTCAGCATTCGATTCTTCGAAGTTTTTTTGTTCCATTGTCTGATTATCAGATACGGGACTCTACTAGTTCAGTGTCGACAAGTGAATATATATGGGACGATTGTCATTTATGAATTAAAAGCAGATTTTCACATTTTAGCGGGATACAAGTTCAAAACGGTTTAAGTTTGATCTTTGTGGTTTTCAGTATTCTATTTCTCGAAAATTTCTAGTCCTACAACTTGATTTTCAGACCGGAAACTTTACCAATTTAGTGCTGAGAGAAAAATATATATGGGACGGGTATCATTTACAATTTGAAAAACAAACTTTTCAAATTTTACCGGGACATAGCTTCGAAACGGTTTAAGTATCCGCTTTATGGTTTTCAACATTCGATTCCCCTAAGTTTTTTGGACTCATGACCTGATTTTCAGGTCGGATGCTCTGCCAGTTTTCGGTTGTCATTTATGGATTAAAAACTATTTTTCAAATTTTGGCGGGACACAACAGATCGGATACTGTACTAGTTGAATGTGGAGAAATGAATACATATGGGACGGGTGTCACACATAAATTAAACAACAATTTTTCAAATTTTACGAGGTCATAACTTCAAAACGGCTTAAGCATCCGCCTTGGGGTTTTCAACATTCGATTCCTCGCAGATTTATAGTCTTATGGCTTGTTCTTCAGCCCGGATAGTGTACTCGTTTAATACTGAAAAACAAATATAAGTATATGGGACGAAAACAATTTACAACAATTTTTAAAATTTAAGCGGGACATAACTCCAGAACGGTTTAAGTATCCGATTTCTGGTTTTGCAGATTCTATTCCTCGAAGTTTTTTTGCGCTACGGTCTGACTTTTAGCTCATATACTTTACCGGTTAATTGCAGACGAACGAATATCCGTGGGACGCCCGTCATTTATGAGTTGAAAAATTTTTTTCAAATTTTAGCAGGACACAACTTCAAAATGGTTTAAATTTTCCGTTTCTGGTTTTCAGCATTCGATTCCTCGAAGTTTTCTAGTCCTACGGCCTGATTTTCAGATCGGATACTCTACCAGTTTCGTATGGAGAAACGAATATATGTTTTTTTAAGCATGATAACGTAGCTCATGAATGGATTTTTGTATCCATTATTGTGGCAAATTTATTTTCTACGGACATGAACAATTTTAGTAAATTATATGTTTGCACTTTTAAAGCAGGAACATCTTTATTAGAAAGAAAATAGCTATAATTTATATTACTGCTAAAATGGTGACGCTAAAATAGCCATTAACCTTGAATTCGTGACACTTTTGGTGGCAATGGTACTCACTCAATTTATGTGCAACATGTATTCAGGGTTGGTTAGTTTATAGACAGTCGCAATCGGTCACTGGAAGTACAGACGTTTTTAATAGTCATTAGTCGTACTAATAATAATAAATAAAACGTGAGTACCTACTTAAAACTGTTTATTTTTTTCTATTTTCCACGAAAAAGTTGAAGGTGACACATAATTATGCTTTATTATTATTGTTTCAGCTGACTCGTATTTAATCGACTAAAAACCACAAAATGCTCACCCTAAACGAAGAGGAAAAATCCAAACTAAGTGCTTACTTTACACTGTGACAACAATGATTTTAAACTGTGCAATTATAGAGAACTGCTTTGGTACCCGCCATCTGCAATTCTTTCTACTATTTATCACCTTGTTGATCGTGAACGGACAACGAACATGTCTTTCGGTGGCCATAATAGCGATGACAGAGAAAATACCACCAGAACCGAGCATAATCGTAAGTACTGTAGCCACTCTGGAACCATCAGAGTACTACCCGATTTTCAGACGTACCCACAGTGGACCAACACCGACACTATCCTTTCGTCGTTCTTCTGGGGCTACCTTGCCACTCAAACAGTCGGTGGCCAACTGGGCGAACACTTTGGCCCTAAGTGGTTCCTAGTTGGTACTACCATTCTAGGTTCAGTGTGCAACGTCCTCATTCCAATTCTGGCACAAAGTTGGGGATCCACAGGAGTCATTATATGTAGGGTAGTTCAAGGTCTGAGTCAAGGGTTCCTTCTCCCTTCCACCCACATTTTGATCAGTCGATGGACCCCACTCTATGAAAGAACCACCGTCACCAACGTGGTATACTCAGGCATGTCTCTAGGTGTAGTGACTTCTATGATGTTCACCGGTGCCATAGCTGAGTCGAAATTAGGGTGGCCACACGCCTTCTACATTTTGGGGTTCGCTGGAATCGCCTGTGGCATCATTTTGGGTTTTTTCGGAGTAAATTCGCCCTCCCTACACAAGAACATCTCCACAGATGAACGAAACTACATCGAAAGCAGCAACTCCGTCAGCCAAAAAGAGAAAGTACCAACACCATGGAGGTCAATCCTCACCTCGCTCCCCGTCTGGGCTATCTTAGTAAGCTCCTGTGGCGAAAACTGGGGTACTTTTACCCTCCTTACCGAAATCCCCAGCTTTTTGAGCAACATAATGAACTTCGACATCAATTCTGTAAGTACCGATGTCGTACTTCCCGTTCTAATTTGTCTAAAATTGTAGAATGGTCACTTGTCGGCGCTCCCCTACTTGGTCACGTTTTTTGTGAGTTTTGTGCCGCCACTCATCGCGGATCGGTTGATTTCGTCCAAAACGCTGTCTATTGGTACCACCCGGAAAATTTTCAATTCGATTGGTATGTTCGTACCAGGTTTGGCTTTGTTTGTTCTGGGTTTTGTTGATGGTACGCAGAAAGTGACAGCCGTGGCGCTTCTGGTGGTGGCCGTTGCCGCTTCTAGTTTTCTGAATGCGGGTGAGTTTGTCAACATGATAGATGTGGCACCCAACCATACTGGTACTATTCTTGGGTTGACCAATGGGAGCGGACAGTTGTTTTCGATTTTGGCGCCATTGACGGTGGGGTTCTTTGGAAACGATAAGGTCGGATTTTAATTGACTGTAGAAAGTAGAAAGAGTGTCTGTATGATTTGTTACAGACTGAGCTTATTCTATGGAGGAAAGTGTTTTGGCTTACCACGGGGATTTATTTTTCTACTGGATTATTCTACGCGATTTTTGCTTCAGGGGAAGTACAAACATGGAACGATTTGGAAAATAATAATAGTGAAAGCAGAAATGAAGACCGAGGGAAGGAAAAAGTGGAAGGTACTCGTGATATTGTAGAATAAAAAAGTTTGAAATTGTGTGCTTTCTTGTTATTTTTTAATACCCGAGTTTACAAACAGTAATCCCGCAAGTACCTAACATTGTTATTATCACAGATAGAGAATTCGTTACAAAATTATGTAAATTTGGATTTCCGTGATTAGATTTTATCTGGACACAAGATACAAAAATCAGAAAGTTATCTTCTGAGATTCGATATTTGGGTACTTAGTGAGAAAGTGTGACTATGTCCGAACCAACAATGTCTCCAGAGGAGCAACATTCTCAACCCGGTAAGTACCATTTTTTTTTTAAACAAACAAAATCGACTCTAGAATGTAACCTTGGGGTACGCGATATTCAATTTGTGCTATTATAAAATACTTCCTGGTCCAGATGTACCCGTAACTACACGTTTCTATGTTGGAAAAATGGAAAAATTAGAAAGTCGAAAAATTAAGAATTGAAAATCAAAAATTCAAAAAATCGAAAAACCGAAAAATGAAAAATCGATTTGAAGAATCGAAAACTCGAGAAATCGAAAATTCGAAATTCGCAAAATCGAAAATCGAAATTTCGAAAAATCCAAAAATGGGAAATCAAAAATTTGAAATATCGAAAAACGAAACATCGGAAATGAAAAATCAGAAAATCAAACACGGAAAAATTAAAAATCGAAAATTTGAAGAGTAAAAACTCAATCTTAATCTCAAAACGGAAGAATGGAGAAACTGAAAACTCGAAAATTCGAAAAATAAAAGTTGAGAAACCGAAAATCCAGAAATCGAAACAAAAAAATCCATAAATCGAGAAATCAAAAGACCGAAATTAAATAATTCGAATAATAAAGCGAAAAATCTAAAAATCGGAAAACTGAAAAATTTGAAATTTGAAAAATCTTAAATCGAAAATTGCAAGAATCAAATTATGTACAAAAATGTAAAAGTCGAGAAATCAAAAACTTGAAAAATCAAAAAATAGAAAAATCGAAAACTCGAGACTGAAAGAAGGAAAAATCGACAGATCGACAATCGAAAAATTCGAAAATTAAAATACCGAAAAATCGGAAAGTTAAAATTCAATTTTTATAGTTTTCATTTAATTACGAAAAAGTGTAAAAATTGGAAAAATGGAAAAATCTAAAATTTAAAAAATTGAACATTCCAAAAATCCCAAATCGAAGATTCGAAATTTCGAAAGACCAAAAACACGAAAATCGAAATTTCGAAAAATCAAATACGGAAAATATTTAAAAAATATACAAGATATCGAAAATTCGAATATGGAAGATTGCAAAATCAAAAATTTAAAAAATCGAAAAGTCGAAAAACGGAAAATCAAAAAATCGAAAACTCGAAAATAGAGATTTCGAAAAATCGTAGAACCAAAAAAAAAATCGGAATATCGAAAATTCGAGAAGTGAAATATTTGAAAAATCTAAAATAAATAGCTGAACTTCGAAAAATAAGAAAACCAAAAATCGAAAGTCAAATATTCGAGAAATCTAAAATCGAAAAATCAAAAATCGAAGATTCGAAAATTCGAAAAACCAAAAACACAAATATGGAAATTTCGAAAAATCGTGAACCAAAATATCGGTAATAGAAAATTCGAATCATCGAAAATCAAAAAATCGAAAATTAGACAAGTGAAATATTTGAAAAATCGATAATAAAAAAATTGAACTTCATAAAATAGAAAAACCGAAAATCGAAAGTCAAAAAATTGAAAAACACAAATTCGAAGAGCCGAAATTCTAAAATTAAAAAATCGAAGAAATGAAAATCAAAAAATCTAAACACTGATAAATGAAAAATACAAAATCGAAAATCGAATAATGGATAAGATAGAAATTTGAAAATTTGAAAAATCAAAAATTCAAAAAATCGAAAAACCGAGAAATGAAAAATCGATTTGAAAAATCGAAAACTCGAGAAATCGAAAATTCGAAATTCGCAAAATCGAAAATCGAAATTTCGAAAAATCCAAAAATGGGAAATCAAAAATTTGAAATATCGAAAAACGAAACATCGGAAATGAAAAATCAGAAAATCAAACACGGAAAAATTAAAAATCGAAAATTTGAAGAGTAAAAACTCAATCTTAATCTCAAAACGGAAGAATGGACAAACTGAAAACTCGAAAATTCGAAAAATAAAAGTTAAAAAACCGAAAATCCAGAAATCGAAACAAAAAAGTCCAAAAATCCAGAAATCAAAAGATCGAAATTAAATAATTCGAATCATTAAAAAGCGAAAAATCTAAAAATCGGAAAACTGAAAAATTTGAAATTTGAAAAATCTTAAATCGAAAATTGCAAGAATCAAATTATGTACAAAAATGTAAAAGTCGAGAAATCAAAAACTCGAAAAATCAAAAACTCGAAAAATCAAAAAATAGAAAAATCGAAAACTCGAGACTGAAAGAAGGAAAAATCGACCGATCGACAATCGAAAAATTCGAAAATTAAAATACCGAAAAATCGGAAAGTTAAAATTCAATTTTTATAGTTTTCATTTAATTACGAAAAAGTGTAAAAATTGGAAAAATGGAAAAATCGAAAATTCAAAAAATTGAACATTCCAAAAATCCCAAATCTAAGATTCGAAATTTCGAAAGACCAAAAACCGAAAATCGAAATTTCGAAAAATCAAACACGGAAAATATTTAAAACTTATAAAATATCGAAAATTCGAATGTGGAAGATTGCAAACTCACAAATTAAAAAATTGAAAGATCGAAAAACGGAAAGTCGAAAAATCGGAAACTCGAAAATAGAGATTTCGAAAAATCGTAGACCTAAAATACCGGAAATAGAAAATTCGAATCATCGAAAAGCAAAAAATTGGAAAATCGAAAATTCGACTAGTGAAATATTTGAAAAATCGAAAATAAAAAAACTGAACTTGGAAAAATAGGAAAACCAAAAATTGAAAGTCAAAAAATTGAAAAATACGAAAATTCGAAAAAAGAGGAGAGCAAAACCAAAATTTTAAAAATCGAAAGGTCGATAATGGAAAAATTTGAAAATAAAAATACCGAAAAATCGAAAAGTTAAAATTCTATTTTTATAGTTTTCATTTAATTAAAAAAAGTCTAAAAACTAGAAAAATGGAAAAATCGAAAATTCTAAAAATTGGACATTCCATAAAACCCAAATCGAAAAATCAGCAATCCAAGATTCGAAAATTCGAAAAACCAAAAACACGAAACTCGAAATTTCGAAAAATCAAATACGGAAGATATTTAAAAAATATATAAGATATCGAAAATTCGAATATGGAAGACTGCAAAATCAAAAATTTTAAAAATCGAAAGGTCGAAAAACGGAAAATCAAAAAATCGAAAACTCGAAAATAGAGATTTCGAAAAATCGTAGAACCAAAATACCGTACATAGAAAATTCAAACCATCGAAAATCAAAAAATCGGAATATCGAAAATTCGAGAAGTGAAATATTTGAAAAATCTAAAATAAAAAGCTGAACTTCGAAAAATAGGAAAACCAAAAATCGAAAGTCAAATATTCGAGAAATCTAAAATCGAAAAACCAAAAATCGAAGATCCGAAAATTCGAAAAACCAAAAACCCAAAAATGGAAATTTCGAAAAATCGTAGAATCAAAATATCGGAAATAGAAAATTCGAATCATCGAAAATCAAAAAATCGAAAATTAGACAAGTGAAATATTTGAAAAATCGATAATAAAAAAATTGAACTTCATAAAATAGAAAAACCGAAAATCGAATGTCAAAAAATTGAAAAACACAAATTCGAAGAGCCGAAATTCTAAAATTAAAAAATCGAAGAAATGAAAATCAAAAAATCTAAAAACTGATAAATGAAAAATACAAAATCGAAAATCGAATAATGGATAAGATAGAAATTTGAAAATTTGAAAAATCAAAAATTCAAAAAATCGAAAAACCGAAAAATGAAAAATCGATTTGAAAAATCGAAAACTCGAGAAATCGAAAATTCGAAATTCGCAAAATCGAAAATCGAAATTTCGAAAAATCCAAAAATGGGAAATCAAAAATTTGAAATATCGAAAAACGAAACATCGGAAATGAAAAATCAGAAAATCAAACACGGAAAAATTAAAAATCGAAAATTTGAAGAGTAAAAACTCAAACTTAATCTCAAAACGGAAGAATGGACAAACTGAAAACTCGAAAATTCGAAAAATAAAAGTTGAAAAATCGAAAATCCAGAAATCGAAACAAAAAAGTCCAAAAATCGAGAAATCAAAAGATCGAAATTAAATAATTCGAATCATTAAAAAGCGAAAAATCTAAAAATCGGAAAACTGAAAAATTTGAAATTTGAAAAATCTTAAATCGAAAATTGCAAGAATCAAATTATGTACAAAAATGTAAAAGTCGAGAAATCAAAAACTCGAAAAATCAAAAAATAGAAAAATCGAAAACTCGAGACTGAAAGAAGGAAAAATCGACAGATCGACAATCGAAAAATTCGAAAATTAAAATACCGAAAAATCGGAAAGTTGAAATTCAATTTTTATAGTTTTCATTTAATTACGAAAAAGTGTAAAAATTGGAAAAATGGAAAAATCTAAAATTCAAAAAATTGAACATTCCAAAAATCCCAAATCTAAGATTCGAAATTTCGAAAGACCAAAAACACGAAAATCGAAATTTCGAAAAATCAAATACGGAAAATATTTAAAAAATATATAAGATATCGAAAATTCGAATATGGAAGATTGCAAAATCAAAAATTTAAAAAATCGAAAAGTCGAAAAACGGAAAATCAAAAAATCGATAACTCGAAAATAAGAGATTTGGAAAAATCGTAGAACCAAAAAAAAATCGGAAATCGAAAATTCGAGAAGTGAAATATTTGAAAAATCTAAAATAAAAAGCTGAACTTCGAAAAATAGGAAAACCAAAAATCGAAAGTCAAATATTCGAGAAATCTAAAATCGAAAAACCAAAAATCGAAGATTCGAAAATTCGAAAAACCAAAAACACAAAAATGGAAATTTCGAAAAATCGTAGAACCAAAATATCGGTAATAG